GGGTGAAAGCGTCACGCTTCTGGAAGGGACCATATTCAGGACAAGGCCCCTTCCAACCGAAGGAGGAGACTGATACTGTCCCCACAAAGTTCAAGAACTGGAAACACTGACGTCCCGGGAACTGACTGGCTGGATGCACAACTCGCTGGCCAGTCCCACCAAGTCCACTGGCCGCGCACTTTCGCTTCTTTCACAGCCACAGGGGGGCCCTGTGAGACTTCAGCCAGGGGGGCAGTGAACATGGCTGCCAGTCTGGGGCTAGACCTCGGATCCTGTCTCCAGGAGCCGGCAGTCTAGCCTCTCTCTTCCTCTCTACCTGAATAAAACTTGCTTTCGTTCTCAAGTCAACACATTCTTGAATTCTTTCCTGTGCAACTCAAGAGCCTGGAGGTCGCCTGACACACAAAAGGTCCTGGATCGGGCCAGGGCGGGGCCCGCGCCCAGCACGGAACCGTCCAGTAACAGTGTGAAGGAGAAGTGCCTGGCTGATGCTGCAGCCACGTAGGGCCATTCGGCCATTGGAAACGTCCGGAAATTCCCTAGCAGAGCTTTCATTCAACACACATTTTTAAACAGCCACGTGCACTAAAGACAGGCGGTGTCTCCACTCTCACAGGGCTTACAGTGGTGGGGCGGGGAGTGCAAAATAAACGAACAAAAAAATGGACAAGTCTTTCAAATGATGAGGAATGAATGCAGAAAGTAAAACAAAATGATGCATGATGGGGAACTGATTTAGGCGAGGGTGGAAGAAGGCCTTTCTGAGATGCCGGTGGAGCAGAGACAATGTCACCGGACAGGACCCAGGCCAGAGGGTCTGCCTGGGCCGCCGGTGGTGTGGGGGTTCCTGACTTCAGGAAGATTTCACAACACATGTCCAGGTGATTTTTTTTTTTTGTCCAGGTGATTTTGAGAGGACATTTCTTAAAGCTGAAGACAGTGAAACACAACAAGGAAGGGCCTAGGATAGCAGCAACAGGAGAGGCTCGGCAGGCTGCCTGGGGTCGCTGAGAAATATAAACACACAGCAACAAAAGCGAGACAAAGCCAGGCTGCTATTGGCTCCCTGAAAAGTCAGGGAGAAGGGGCCCTGGAGGCAGGTTCAGGGGTTACCCTGGGACAGCTGCTGTGCGCATTGCTCCCCTGGTTGCAAATCTCATGGGGACCATAGAGTTTAGGAGACGCATGCCTGGGGGGAAGCACAGTGTATGTCCTCTGGAGCGGGCCGGGCTGGGTCCTTTGTTTCCTAGGGTTTATTTTTATTTTTATTTTTTTTTAAAATATATTTTATTGATTTTTTACAGACAGGAAGGGAGAGGGATAGAGAGTTAGAAACATCGAAGAGAGAGAAACATCGATCAGCTGCCTCCTGCACACCTCCTACTGGGGATGTGCCCGCAACCAAGGTACATGCCCTTGACTGGAATCGAACCTGGGACCTTTCAGTCCACAGGCCGACGCTCTATCCACTGAGCCAAACCGGTCAGGGCGTGTTTCCTAGGGTTTATAAGGGCTGGGAGTTTAGGGGAGGTCTTAGGGAAGGATCTCAATAGAATATTCATCATCTTAATGCCCCAAGATGAGATTTAGTCCCTTAACTTTGTCCGCCCTTGCGTGTGGCTGGCACAAATGGCACTTACTGGATTTCTGCTGCCGCCCTGAGTGGGGTGACTTAGGCTATTTACCCTCACTGGGGCGGAGACGTGTAAACCATTTACTCTTACTGTCCTTGGTCAGGGAAGATAGGATTTCGCAATTTGTTAGATGGCTGTAAACTGTTTGGCCAGTTAACGATCTGTCTCCCTCTCCCCGTCCACTTGTCCTGGCTGGCTGGCCTGTCTCAATGTGGTAGAAGGGGCAGCCACGCAGGGGGCTGAAGCACTGGGATTGAGGAGGTGCAAGAGGGTCGCCAGCCCTCAGGCCCTGCATAGGCCTCGGTTCTCTACAGTGGTCCTGGGAAGAGAGAATTTTAAGCGGGAAAGGGCCCTCTACTGCAGGAGGGTGCACAGCATGAACTGCGGGTGGGGGAAGCGCCTCCTAGGGACGGGAAGAAAACAGATTAGTTTTCTTTTAAGGAGCATTTTAAACACACCTTTTTCTACAACACCAGCTAAAACCTCCAACCCCGAAGGAGGAAAGCATGAGGCTGAAAGGGGTAAAGAATTAGGAATTTATTAGGCCACCGGGAACCCAGGGCTGAGCCCCCAAATGGCACCAGCCCCCAGGGGTGGGGGTCAGAGGTTTTAAAGGACTCCAGGCGGGCTTTTTCTGTGGGGAACTCTCGGGGCGGGTCCAGATCTTGGGAAATCCTGGGAAAGTCCAGAGGGGAAAAGATAATGGTGTTAGCAATCGGAATGTAGCCTCAGCCGAAAGGGAATGTGGGTTGTGAAGTGGTCTAAAGTTCAGTTCCAGGGGGGCGAGGTGGTATTGATTCAATTATTTGATCAGACCTAACAGAGACCAGGCAGCCAGAGTCCTGTGGAATAGGGTGAAGTCCAAACGCCTCCTGCCCAGAGAACAGGGCTGTGAGAGTCACACTGTAACCGGATAATCAATCGGTCCACGCTGCCTGTCCCTACTTGAGCCAATTAAGCAGAGATAGAGTTGAATCCTATCTGAGCGTTTACCCCATAATGCCGGCGGCATGGGAGAGCAGGTCCCCACGAACATCTGCTGTCCCTCCACCATAAGCCAGCTGCGTGTATTGGGTAGAAGGAGGACGATTCCGTGGGGAAGTAGGCAAAGGGGTAAGAATGGGTCTGCAAATGGGCAGTTTACTGGTAATGCGGGCTGGCGGTTTGCCCAGGGCTGGCGGCTCTGGTCTCTGCACCAAGGTTGTTCATCTTTCCATGAGAATGTTGTAATGTACCCCGCGAATCACAGAAGGACGCCTCAAGAAGTCGAATTAAAGAGTCACATTTATTGCAATCCGGGACTCCCAGGGGGGCATTTCGCTCTCCCAAATCTCGAAGTGATAAGATGGCCGCAAAACCAGATTTATGTAGGCAAAAATCACAAAGGTATTGATTACATCCCAGGGTTTGGAATGAGGAACCTGGTTTGTAAAAAAGCAGTTTACAGAAGCAGAATTAAGCATGTTAATTACAGTTTTGGGTCTCGGGGTCACTGAGTTGCCAGGAACACATTATCTAGAGCAGCCGTGGGCAAACTACGGCCCGAGGGCCGGATCCGGCCCGTTTGAAATGAATAAAATTAAAAAAAAAAAAAAAAAAAGACCGTACCCTTTTATGTAATGATGTTTACTTTGAATTTATATTAGTTCACACAAACACTCCATCCATGCTTTTGTTCTGGCCCTCCAGTCCAGTTTAAGAACCCATTGTGGCCCTCAAGTCAAAAAGTTTGCCCACCCCTGATCTAGAGCCATCGAGGCAATTTAGAGTAATTGTGCTGTCCTGGTCTTGGGACCACTGAGTTGACAGGGACACATTATCTGGAACCCTCAGGTCTTGGGATAATTGTGCTGTCCTGGTTCCCAGGTACAGAGGAATTTGCTTTCTAAAACCAGTAAGATCACAATCAATGGGATATTCACATTACAATCAATAAGGCATTCAGCTGAATAGGATGATTTATATAATTCAGAAAATCAAAATAACTTTTCTATTGTTAAGCCAAACAGCAGGGTTAGAGTTAAACTACAGTTTCTACCTGAGATGACTGCTACCATACTTCAAGAATAGGCAGCTCCCTGGTGGGGAGGATGGGCTGCACTTCCAGGTGATCTCCCAGGTCCCATGGGCAACTCCCAGCAGGTTAGCATGCGCCTTCTTTAGTCAGAACAACGCAATCACCGTTGACAGAGCGTGGTTATATGATTATAGCTGCTCCCCAACATTCACTTTCTGCCCCTAACACCACACTGGACAGGATGTAAAGCATGGGAGTGGATTTCTTCTGAGTATCTACCACCAGGCGATAAGCACCGCTGACTATTCACTGCCAATTCCTTCGCCCCTGTGGGGGAGGGGGGAGGCCCGGCAGATTTTAGGCTGTAGGACCCTGAGCTCACCCTGTCAGGACCACCCCCCCCCCCACCCCCCCACACACACCTGCTATCTATCACCTGTGCCCTCACATGGATCTCCCGTCCAACCTTAGGGGCAGGAAGCTGGCCCCGAGAACCTTCCCGGCGAGCCGCCAGCTGGCTCGGGAGACGGGGATTTTAATGCGACAGGTCCTGGGACAGGGCCACCGGCCGCTTGCGAGGCTGCAGGCAGAGCAGGAAGCGAAGGCAGGTTGGGCGGCGGTGGGGCTCGCTGTGGTCAGTTTCCTGGCCAGGGGCGGCGGGGGCGCGCGGGAACCTCTGGAAACTTCCCGAGGACCTGGGAACCCGAGCTCCTGCCGCTTTGTGATCTCTGAATCCAGCACCGAGGGAAACTGGCCCCCTGAGCCAGGCTCAGCCCCGCAGCTGTTGGAACCTCAGTTTTCCCGTCTGTCGAATGGGGACATGAATGCGTGCTTGGCTTAAGGATATTTTATGAAAGCCCCTTACTCATCATCGCCGTCTCAGAAATGAGTTAATTTTTTGCAAATAGCCCACTGGGAATATTTGCTTGCTAAAATCCAGCCTGCTCCCGGAAGCAAATTTAGGCCACGTGAGGGCAGAGTCCTATTCCGTGGGAGCACCCGGCGGAACGCAGTTTAGCCGCAAGGCACCCACGACTCTGACCAGGGCGGGGCGCGAACCCGGGGGTGCGGGATGGGGGCCGCGGGGCCGGCCTGGCGGCGCCGGAGTCCCATAGAGGCTAGGCCGGGGGCTGGTTCCCGGGGCCCCCCGGGGCCCCCCGGGGGGCCCCGCGCGCCCGAACCGGGCTGCGCCGAAGCCTGATTTCAGTTTCCTTTTTCTCGGGCTGCCCCACCCCCGCAGAGTTGCCCGGTGATCAGTGACGTAGAGGATCCTGAGCTTCCCATTGGCAGGCGGGGTTGGGCGGGGGCCAATCGGGCGCAGGACGCGAGAAATCTCCGCGGAGCGCCGGGAGGAGCCGGGTGGAGGCGGGACGCGCTGTTGGGCTCGGTGCTCGCGGAAGATCGCGACCCGGAACTGGCCGCCCGGCCCTCGGCGACCAGGACGCGGCCCGGACGCGCGGCCCCGAGCTAGGCTCCGGTGAGTTGGGGCGTCGCATGAAGAATGCAGCCCTGCGCGCCCCGCCGCCTCCCCCTGCCTCGCCGCCTCCCCCTGCCTCGTGGGCCCCCCTCGCAACCCCGGGGCCCGCGGGCGCCAAGCCGGCTCGTCGCCGGACGGAAGGAAGCGGCCCTGGTCTGGTTGCTTGGAGCCGAGCAGGCCCCCTACCCGTCACCATGACCAAAGTCATGTTTTCCTTTCTTTTTGACCCGAATTAACCGGTTAAGTCCCGTGTACCTGGAGCTACGGGTCCTCCCTCCTTCAGCCCATAGCACATTAGTGCTTCCTGCTGACTTTCTTGCTGATTTGGGCCTTAGGGTGTGAACAGGGATCTGGAGCAAATGGGAGGCAGCCGCTTCCAGTTCCGTGTATTCCCGTCCTGCCCCACAGCCATCGTGTTCCTTCCGCTGCAGGAGCACAGCCTCGTGTGCGCGAAGGCCCGTGTCCCCAGCCGAGCCTCGGGTGCCGTTAGCCCGCGCCCCGTAGCCCTTGAGCCACCCGCCCACTTGGCGCCCCGTCTGGCGGCGGGAGCCGGCGGAGGGCCTGTTGCTGAGCCGCCGGGCAGGCAGGTTTCCTTGGTTTTTACCCCCTGCTTCTGCTCCAGGGTCGCGCCCGGGTCACTTACTCCTACGTCTCCTCACCGCCCCCCCCCCCCCCGGGGGGGAGGGTCCCAGGGCCAAGGCGTCCTTGTTTTTTGACGTTTTGAGGAATACTGGTCAAGTGTATTTGTAGGATGCTCCTCTACTGGAATTTGTCTGCTGTTTTTTCCCTAAGTTTGGGCTCATGGGAGGACCCCCAGGATAGATTGCATTTTCATCACATCATATCAAGGGTACACACCATCAGCAGTGCTTGGAATTCTTTTGCATGGGAAATTTGTCTGTCTTAACTTATTCAAGGAAGGGCCTCTCCGGTGAGGGGCATATCAGATTCAGGCCTTCCCAGGAGCATGCACAGGGCCAGGGGGTGGGGAGTGGAGCCTGGAGAAGGTTATGTTCCTGGTCATTGTATGTAGTGAGCGGGCTGCAAGCTGGACATGTAGTGGGGCCAGGTCACAGGGCCTGTGTGCCCTGCTGTGCAGTTTGACCTGCTGGGAGTGTTGAAGCAGGAGAGGAATAGGATGAGACTGTGTGTGATCCCCTGCACACTTTGTAGGAGCTATGCCACATCTCACCAAAACCGAGATGCCATCAACTGTTCATGTTCTGCATGGAAAGACATATTTTGACAGTCAAATTGTGACATACTGTTGATCACATGGATTTTAGTGATACTAAATAATGACTTGGATATCAAATTTGATGAAAAATGGTAACTCCCAGCTGATGGCTTAGATCCTTCCTCCAGGGAATGAATGGTTAGTGCCACTCAATCTCATTAACCCCTGGATGTTGAGCTCACTGACTCCTTTTATGATCTTGAAAAAACTAAATTTGATAAACTGCTACTTTCTTGTCTGATAGCCAGATTGTCAGACATCAGCACAATGAAACTGCATACCTGACCCAAAGGCTCGGCTGTGTCTATGGTGCTCTGCTTGCTCTTAATAATAGCCGCGGCTTGATGTTGCACATTAAACATGCCAGTTGCTTGCCGAACCTTTATTTCGGTTTGTCCTGTTGTAATAAGGAAATTCAGCCCAACACTTATATTTAGGTTCATTAACGGATGTGGTAAGAATTCAGATGAACAGCCAGATGAAGGGATGTATAGGGTGAGGTCTGGGAGGGTCCAGAGTACAGGAGCGGCTGTCCCTGTGGAGCTGGGGTGTGTCCACCTTCCCTGTGTGGACGTGTTCGCCCACCTGGAGGCTCCCCGAATCCTGCCCCATTGGGATTTTACGGAGCTTCCTCACACAGGCGTGATCAGTTATAACTCCATTCGCAGCCCCTCTCCCCTCTTGAATATGGGAGATGGGGCCGGAAATTCCAAGCTTGTATTCATGGCTCGGTCTTTTGGGTGCACAGGCCCCATCCAGGAGCCTACCCGGAGTTGCCTCAATAGAACAAAAACTGCTCCTCGTGCTCCTATCACCAGGAAATGACCAAGGGTTCAGGAGCCTGTGTCAGGAACGGGAGCAGAGATCAAAACATATTTTTCTATTATTTCACACCCCTGATGGCCTGGGTATGCCCTCCCACTCCCGTTTCTTCGTGGTGATACTGTGACCCAGAAAGGTCCGGAGACCTAGCCCAGGCTGCACAGCAGAGTAGCTGGGCTGGGTAAAACCTGGAGCTTAGTCCTCACCCTGACCCTTCACTTCGGCATTGGTTAGAACGACAGCCGGGGTGAAGGAGACTGCCTGTGCTTCCTCACTCAGAGGTCCAGGTGCAGTGGGGAAGGCGCCGTGGCCTGGCCGGCAGGTGAGGGCCAGAGAGGGAACTGCCAGTGGGTATTTGCCTTGTTACAAGACCTCTGTCTAGATAAACAGGCTTATCTTTCTGCACAAGCTCTTTGTATATTTCAGCCTAGTAACCTTCAAGAACTCTGCATATCAGTCAGGATTCTTTTTTTCCTTCTTTGCAGATTACAGACAAGCCAAGCCAGCTGGGCCTAAGAGCATTTATTGGTTCAAGTGAGGGGAAAGTTCAAGGGTAGGATAGCTCCAGGCACAGCTTGATAAGGGTTCACTGATGGACCTGGTTCCTTTCACTTCACCTCCTGGTGGGTTTCATTCTCAAGAAACTGCTCCAGCAGCTTCTAACCATATGACCCAGCTCTTGCAGGTTCTGGAGAAACCACAAGAATCTTTCCCCCATGTCTCCGCGAGGTCTCCTTGCGACTGGCTGTAGTAAGTCATGTTCTCATCCCTGAAGCCAGCACTGTGGCCAGGGGTCTTGACTAGACCTCTTGCTGCACTCCTGAGCTGAGGGCGAGCTCGCCTGCAGCAGGGACCCCCAGAAGGGGTTGGAAGAATGTAAGCTGGCTGAACCCTCTCCCCAAAAGACAAACCCTTAGAGTACTTACTGCTGGATTAAGGAGCACCTGCTGTAGGATTCTGTTGCCTCTTACTGGGCCTCTCTTGTGTGGTTTCCTTTTCTTTCTTTTCTTTTCCTTTTTTTATACAGCTCTCTCTCTCTCTCTCTCTCTCTCTCTTTCTCTCTCTCTCTCTCTCTCTCTCTCTCTCTCTCACACACACACACACACACACACACACACACACAGTGGGATTCTATTTTCCATCCACTAGATTGGCAGAAACTGAAAAGATGACAATAGCAGGTGTGGGTGCGGCTTGCCTGCTGGTGGAAACGTGCATTGGTGCGGGCGGTTGAGGCTGCCTCTCCTCGCCTGTAGGTACTAGGATATGTGTGCAGAAATGAGCAGTGTTTGTCCCAAACTGGAGACAACCCAGATGGCCATCAAAATAGACTATATCAGAAGTAGAATTCTATAGTCAGAAAGCAACGAAAATGAACAAAATCAGCTCACAATCACATGACTGAACCTCACAAACATGACGTTGGTAGTCCCCCTCCCAGAATGCAATATGATTCCATTCCTCTGAAGCTCAGAGCCCGGAGACGAGCTCTTTGCATACAGAGGTAAAACTGGAAGAGAGGGGAGAGCGGCCATCGCCACTAGAACACACCACAGCTGCCATGTCCTCCTCTCCTGGTTTCTGACTGTTCCTGGAGCCGACCCTTGGGCTCCCTGACTGGTGGTGACTGCTCTTGCTGGCTGAGGGAGTGTGAAGACGTCACCTTGCTGCAGAGAAGGACACATGGCTGACACCTCGCAGGGGCTCGCAGATGCGCAGGAAGCCTTTCGTAGGCTTCGGGTGCTCTTTGCCGCTTCATCCACTTCCTCAGCCGGTGGCCTCTGCAGGCACCGCGTGGATTCTGGGGTGAGGCAGACCATCTGAGGTTTGGGAAAAGCTGGTATTAAATCAGTCAGCACTCGATTGCAGAGAAGTACACCGTGCAGTGTGGGTGCGTCCAGCCCTATCGGGCCAAGAATGATTTGCCAGAGGAGATGGCTTTCAGCTGAGACTTCAAGATGGAACAGGAGTGGGCTCTGTGCAGAGGGGGTCACACTTGCAAAGGCTCAAAGGCTAGGCAGGAAAGAGCTGGTGCCTCTGGAGGCTTAGAGAGGGGTCTGCCTTGGCCGTGGGGTGGAGTTTGAGGTGGGAAGTGGCAGGAAATGAGCCTGGAGACCAGACCTGGCCTGGAGGACCTGGGGCCTCGCCGGGCGTGGGACGGAGATCTGCCTGTCCCTGGAGCACCTGGCGCCAGGAGAGGTTTGAGGCGGTGGAATGCAATTTTGACACGGTCTGTTTGAGGGACTAAAGGAAGGCACCCGGCAAGGGAGACAGGAGGCTTCAGTAACTCAGGGGACCCGTGAGCATTGCAGAACCCCCACAAGCAGCTCTGGTTTCAGCTTCTAAAGAAAAGTTCACTCAATTATGTCCCTAGATTTAAGTTCTGGGAGGACGGGACTTTGCCGTATTTGATAGGCACCCAATACATGCCTAGTAACCTGTTGGATGAATTATGCCACCCGTAAGTGGGGTTCCTACAGAGCATGGAGCTCTCGGCCAAGTGCTTTGGGATTGCAAGGAAGAAGGGGATCTTGTTTGGAGCCTCAAACATGAGTTCGAGAAGCAGTCTAGAGGCCGGATGCAAATGCAGGCCCCTCCACTCACTGCTCTGGGCCTTGAAGTCCACGTCTGGGATTCAGTGTCTTCTGGGTTCCTTCTGGGGCAGTAGGAGCCCGAGGCAGCAGGAGGCAGGCAGGAGGGTGTGGGCTGGCAGAAGCCACAGGAAATTGAGGGAGAGTTTAGCACCTGTTAGGGCAGTGGTTGACAGCTGTTAGGAAGCAAGGGGCCCGAGTTCCCATCTTTTCCCTCTGGAATGGGTGGGTGGGGAGTGCAGGTGTCTGCCCATAGGTGTGGGCATTCCTGGCATTGCCTCCCTCAGCTTGTTGGTAGCTCACAGTGGTTCTCACAGCCACGAATTACGCATGGTCCCCACATCCTAAAATGTGCGGCAGGAAGTCACATAGTGCCCTCAACCGTTCTGCTGACAGATGAGGACAGATGCCCAGGAGGTGGTTATGAGACCGAGGGAGTTCTGGGGAGGGTGGTTGCAGAGATGGGGAACTCAAAAAGGTGGGGGTGTCTCCAGTTCTGCCTGGTTCTGGCGAGTTGCAGCCAGCTTCTGGTGTATTGAGGGGACAGAAGGCCTGCTGCCCTGCAGTCGGGTTTCAGAATTCTCATTTGGGTGAAGGGAGGGGGTGGGCCATGTCCTCACTGAGTGTTTTCCAGCTCGGGGAAGTTTGGAGCGGGTCTGTTTGCATTGGGCCTGAAAGGACTGGGCGTGGGGTGGTGAGCAGCTCTCGGATCTGCCCAGGCCTGTGCTCCAGTCCTGCTTCCTGTCATTTAAGATGAGGTGCTCGTGGCCAGTGTCAGCAGTAGCATGTGCCCCTTCACAGTGGCCAGCACTGCAGCTTATAAAGCCTTTCCGTGAAAGTGACCTCATCCGAGCTTCCGGACAAAGGAGCTGCTTGCTATTAAGGCCCCTTTCACAGTTTGGCCTGGGTAGGGAACAGTCCTGGATCTTGAGGCATCTGCGGGACACAGCTTCCTAGCCATGTGCCCTCAGGCAAGGTGCTTGCCCTGCCGATCCTCGGTGTCCTTAGAAGAGTATCCTGAATGCTGGATAACGTAAGATGTGAAAAATGGCTATAAGGTGGGTCCTAAATAAATGCTGTCTCCAAGAAGTTGTTAGTCACCTGGCCATTGCGCTGCAGAGCCCAAGGCTGAACCTGGATGGTCCACCCACAGATTGACACCTGGGTCTAACACGGGTCCAGCGATGCACTGAGCTGCCTTCCGGTGCGCGCTGTACCACGCTGGGGAGCGTGCAGCCCAGAGGTGGACGTGAGCATAGACGCGGTAACACATTTCGTTTGTCTCCCTTGTCTGGTTGTCACACTCTCAGACAGATGGTCCTGGACGGGCAGTTTTGTCTTCAGTTCCTCTGATCCAGGCATCGCTTGGGCACGTGGACCTCGACTCTTTAAGCTGTTGAGCACCATGGGCTCTCCAGTCGTGATTTTGAGCAGCTTTGGTACTGCAGACCCTGGATAGAAAACTAGCCCCTCTCCTCAGAAGGTTTTTCTAACTTTTGTTATTGTGGAACTATTTAAAAGTAAGTCGTAGTTATGCAGCCCTAAGTACTGCAGCCCACACTGCCTAAAATATGGACCTTCTCACAACCTCAGTAAATACCATTTTAAAAATTAACAATACTCCATACGACTCTAGTCCTTTGTCAGATTTCCTTAATTGTCCCAAAACTATTTTTATGCCTCTTTAAAAAACAAAACAAAACAGGAGATGCCTGGCTCGTGTGGCTCAGTGGTTGAGCATCAACCCATGAACGAGGAGGTCACAGTTCCATTTCTGGTCAGGGCACATGCCTGGGGTGAGGGCTCGATCCCCAGTAGAGGGCGTGCAGGAGGCAGCTGATCAATGTTACACTCTCACATCAATGTCTTTCTCTCCCTTTCCCTTCCTCTCTCTCTAAAAAATCTTTAAAAATAAATTCTATATAATAATAGCATAGTATGCAAATTGTCCCTTTGACCCGGAGTTCATCCAGGAGTTTGACCAGGGGGCAGGGCCAGCTGGGAGAAGGGAGGGAGGCCCCGGTCCCCGGCAGCCGCTAGGGACCCTACCAGTGCACGAATTTCATGCACTGGGCCTCTAGTAAGTAAATAAAAGACCAGGGCAGTTTTTTTGTGGAATGTCCTATCTTCTGGACTTAGCTGATTGTTTCCTCATGATGTGTTTTAGCTCATTCCTCATTCCCTCAGATCTTCTGTAAACTGGAAGTTATGTCTAAAGGCCTGATTCAGTTCATTTAGGTCAAACATTTGTGCAGGACTACTTGCAAGGTGACGTGTAAGTCATAGGCGCCACAGGGTAAGTCATCCGGGGAAGCGCGCGCCAGCTCGTCCCTCTCAGCGAGGCTGGTTTGGGCACTGGTTGAGGTGGTCACAGGTCTCCCTTATCAAGGCACATTAGGAAGCACTAACCCATTGGGAAGTACTTTGGCTTCGTGGGACTATCCTGTCCCCCAGCACCTCGTGGCTTTAGCATCCAGTAAAGACCCTTGTCTTATCATGAGGATGTTTTTCTAATCTGCTACCCCTCCTGCACTTACTCGCCACTCTTCTGTGACCCCTAGACTGTTTTATTTTTTGAATATGTGTGGGATCGTGTTCATATGGTTTCCGGGATTTAAAGCTGCATCAGAGCCCGCATGCCCGGGTGGAGGAGGCTGCTCTCGCGAGGGCGGTGCCCGCCTGGCAGGCTGGTGGGGCACTGTGGCTGACTTCACAGTCCTCTCATCCTTAACTGCAACAGAAGGAAGTCCCAGCCCCAACAGAGCAAAGGAAATGGCCTCCACCTTTAACCTCAGAGCTCTCCACGGGGTGCCGGCAAGGGACTCCCAGCCCAGGACCCTCCTCTCTACAGCTCGTGCCCAGCAGGCAGCCAGGGAGCTGGCCCGGCCCTGCCTACGACTTTGCTAGCCTTATTATCCTAAACATTTTATTACCTCGTTTGCCAGTTAAATTACTCAACCCCGTCCCTTCATGCGAGCTCTGTGTGTACCTGTTTTTCACCTCCTTGCGTCCCTCGGAGTGGAGCGTGCCGGCGCCTTGCTGGCAGTGTGCCAGGCCCTCGCCAGGCCAGCACTCACTACACGGAGCACTGCTGTCTCCCTTCAGGTCCTCGTGAAGTGGACATTACATCCATGCTTTGCTTTTCCTTTGGGTCCTAGAGCCCGGGGGTCATTTCTAGCTCATTCCTGTCACTGCGTGAAAGGGCCCGAGGGCCACGGCGCTCTGTTGCGATGGACTTTCAGCGGACACAGTCCTGATGGCATTGACTTCCGGCGCGCGTGCACTCGCTCCAGCCTCGTAGTGGCCCGTGTGCCCCCTGCTGCCCTCTGTTGCCCTCTCCCGACTGCTCGGTGCGGCCAGGATCCACAGCAGAGCAAGGTCCTGCCCTGCCTGCCCCTCGAGCGCTTCCTCTCTCGCTGCCACTTTACGTCTCGCTCTGCCTCTGGAGCTCGGAACACTCCTGGATTCGGAGCCAGGGTTCTGCATTCTCTCCTAGACTTTCTGGGTGTTGTGCTTATGGTCAGGACTTGCAGCATAATGCTTTCACTCAGCCCACTTAGGAAACCTTGGAGGTAAGTATCACCTTCCACTTTATGGGTGGCTACACAGGCTCAGAGTTCCTAGAACAGTTCTCTATTGTCACACAGAGTCAGGGGCAGCAGGCAGCTGTCGGGTCAGGAAGTGGGCCAGGGCGGCAAAGGTAAACGGACTGAAGTCCTCCGTGCTCAGCTGTGCTCAGCGGGGACCGGGCCCTCGGCACACAGTGCAGTCCCGGCGGGCATCCCTGCCATGGTGTCAGTGAGCCCAGCCAGGACAGTCCCCCCTCGCTCCTCGCAGAGCGGCCGGGCCAGCTCTGTGGGGAGGCACAGCTGGGAGCGAGTCCAGTGGTCAAGGGGTGCTCTGCAGGCCCCGGTCGAGTCCCACTGTCTGGGGGTGAGAACCAGACCCCCAAAGCCCAGCCCAGGGACACGCCTGCGCAGGAAGTGCCAGAGCTCACCCTGCTGGTGCTTCTTGGGTCGTGTAAAGGGCCCCGTGCTCAGTCTTTGAAACCTGAAGGAGTAGCTGTGCGGCCTGTGACTGCCCAGCTGAGAGCACTGCCTACTGGACGTCGCAGGTTTGTGATTTGTCATGAGTTTCCCAGCAGAGCCCTCGGGTCCCCGTTCTGTCATAATTGCACCAGCTGATGGAAGGAAAAGGGCCTGGAGGCAGGACTGCTTTCCCGACCCCGCTCTACCAGGCTGCGCCCTCTGCCTCAGCTTCCTTATCTGTAAAGTGGGTGGACTAGATGGTCAGGAAGCCGCTCTCACACTGCTGTTTGGTGCGCCTGTGGGAGCTGGTAAGTCTGCTGCTTGCTGGGGCGGCCCTGTGTGGGCTGCCAGCTCCGCCCTCTGCTGGGTCTGCTCTTGATTCCATGTCTGGTCTCCAAGGAGCAGGAGCCCCACCTGTGAGCAGAGGCCCTCTGAGCCCAGGACCGAGGACAGCATGGCCACGGCAGCGCCGCTGCGCAGCCTGGAGGAGGAGGTGACCTGCTCCATCTGCCTGGATTACCTGCGGGACCCTGTGACCATCGACTGTGGCCACGTCTTCTGCCGCAGCTGCACCGCCGACATCTGCCCCGCCTCGGGGGCCCGCCCCGTCTGCCCCCTCTGCAAGAAGCCTTTTAAGAAGGAGAACATCCGCCCCGTGTGGCAGCTGGCCAGCCTGGTGGAGAACATTGAACGGCTGAAGGTGGACAAGGGCAGGCAGCTGGGGGACGCAGCCCGGGAGCAGCAGGACGCGAGGCTGTGCGAGCGGCACCAGGAGAAGCTGCACTATTACTGCGAGGATGATGGGCAGCTCCTGTGCGTGCTGTGCCGGGAGTCCCGGGAGCACAAGCCCCACACGGCCGTGCTGCTGGAGAAGGCCGCCCAGCCCCACAGGGTAAGCCTCACCCGCACGGCGCTCTGCCCACCTGGAGGCCGGCCTGGCCCACAGCCGCTGAAGGCTTCTTGCCGGCCCAGGGCTCAGCCTGAGTCCACCCCGCTGCCCCAGCCCAGAGCGTCCACCTGTCCCCACTGCTTGTCTTTCTGCAGGAAAAAATCCTGAACCACCTGAGTATTCTAAGGAGAGACAGAGACAAAATTCAGGGCTGTCAGGCGAAGGGAGAAGCTGATATCCTGGCTGCGCTGGTAAGTGAGGCTGTGAGGGGAAGCCTAAGGCTGCGGCCTGGCAGCAGGCGCTCTGGGCTGCCCAGCAGCTCTGGCCTTGGCCTGCTTCCTGATCTGAGGGGTTGCCTAGATGTCAGCTAAGGTCCCTCCTCTGTGACTCACCTCTGTGGGGCCACCACTGGCCGCTGCCGCTCTTCTGCGAGGGCGAGTCAGGGTGTGGGGACCAAGGAAGGCTGGCTCTGCTCTCCCTTTCAGAGGAGAGACGTGGTTGCTGCAGCAGTGGGGCCACCGGGACTAGAAGGAGGGCGGGCTGAGGATGCCGGTGGCCGCCGCCGCTGCGACAGGCAGCACCTGTGCACCTCAGTAGACGTGGTGTTGGGAGGAAAACGGAGAGGCGGGTTCCAGTTTTCTGTGGGAAGTGGGCATTGCAGGGATGTTGGGGCCAGTCCTGCCGTGAGCCACTGGGCCCTGGGACGGGGAGAGGGAGGCAGGAGACACAGCTCAAGTTCAAGGTGCACCTCCAGGCCCTGGTGTATGTGGACGCAGCCCACCTTCAGTCAGCCGGGCACAAGGACACTGACCAGATCCCCACCTGGACTTGCAGTGAGATTCGGGGGCAGGCAAGGTCATGGTCCCTGAGCACAGGCATTGCGCAGACTCGCTGAGGTCACTGGTGCGGCCCTGTGTGCAGGGCCCGGCGCTGGGGCGAGGGTTGGTCGGCTTGGAGGAGAGCAGTCCTTGAGCTTCCTGGAAGAAGCGGCTGCAGAGACTAGTGTTCAGGAGGCCCTGGAACATACTGTTTTCCTGGAACCTGTACCAGGCTGAGCAGCCAGGCAGCTAGCAGGCAGGCGGAGTTCCAGTCCCGAGGCGGCTGGACTGCTCTGTGACTGACTGACTTCTTCGAGGAGGGAGGTTGGCCCAGGGATGCGCGAAAGGCCCCCAGCCTGAGCTTGGGATTCGTGGGTGGGGAGAAGAGCCGCCTGGCGCCGCTTACACCAGATCCTGCAGGGGTTTTCCACCGCCAGGCGGAGGCGTCACCCTTGCCCTTCCCACCCCGCAGCAGAAGCTCCGGGAGCAGAGGCAGCACGTCGTGGCCGAGTTTGCGCAGGGCCACCAGTTCCTGAGGGAGCGGGAGCAGCACCTGCTGGACCAGCTGGCCAGGCTGGAGCAGGAGCTCGCCGAGGGCAGGGAGAAGTGCCAGGCCAGGGGCAGCGGGGAGCTGGCCCGGCTGGCGCTGGTCATCTCTGAGCTGGAGGGCAAGGCCCAGCAGCCGGCCGCAGAGCTCATGCAGGTGAGAAGCCTTCTGGGGGCAGGGCTGGGCACCAGAGCGGCAGGCCTGTCCTGCTATGGGCTTGCAGGACCTTGGGGCCTCGGCTTTCTTCTCTGAAACACGGGCTGGTAACCCTGCTCGGCCCGCTTATTCCAGTGGTTGCTTGAGCATAAAGTGCGATGGCCGGGGTCTTTCTCAGCATCTGCCAGGGTTCAAGGAATCTGGAGAAGGGGCTGTGCATAAATGAATGAGAGAGACTAGACAAGAAATATGAATTTGGAAGGCATTTTGGAGGGCCAGACGGAGACTCAGTTCTAGTGACTAAGCTCTCAGAATCTCCGGACCCCTAGCTTTTTGTTAACACATTTTGCCCTCCAGCGAAGCAGATACACACGTCAAAGGTAAGGATTGGTAAACAATAAGGGTTATCAGGTCGGGGAACTGCCCTTAGCTAGCTGTCTGGCAGCAGGCAGTAACATGCAGATCTGCAGCCCTGTTGGAGCCCCAAGGTTCATCAATCTTTTGATGAACTTCTTGCATAATTATGACCTGCCGGACTTAGCCTCCAGCATGCGATGGCTGGCATGGTGTCACTTCAAAAAGTAAATTTCCTACGAAGTTTAAAAATATTGAGACGGAGGGGAAGGTTACTAGTATTTTCACTGCTATCTTCCATCCTCATCACTAGCATCATGAGCCTGTCTTCCGACAAGTCTCACACGCCCTGGCAGAGACTCATCCATGGAAGCTCTTTGTGGTTCTGGAGCTGAAGTTGTGAAAGCTGGGAGCGGGGAGGAGGGGCGGCGGAGAGGGCCGGAGGGTCAGTGTGGGCGAGTTTTTCTCTGGGACTCGGAGCCACTGAAGGGCAGAGATGGACACAGGTGAGTTGCCTCTGGAATGCTTCCTGATGCTGAGAAAGGAGGAGGCCTGGACCGTAGGACAGACAGCTGGCCAAGCTGAAATGGCTCCACAGGCCAAACTCGGAGCCTCCCTGAGGAGTCGGTCCTACAGGCAGGGCTCAGCGCCGTGGGCCAGGGAGGCCAATGTGGCGGTCCCTCCCCTTGCATGGTCAGTGGCTGGGCCTGTGTCGGCCGTGGAGATGCTGCTACAGGCCAGCGGCAGGCAAGCCGGTGCTGGCGGAGAGGGCAGGGCACATTCTCGGCACCTGGGCCAGCTCGGACCCAGGCGGCAGGAGGCTCCGGCCCTCTCCGTCCTCGTGAATGCAGGACTCAGGACTGGCAGGGCTGTAGGTCCTTCAGTGCAGCCGCACCGTGGTCACTGAGGGTCAGAGAGCTCCCGGCCACGGGCAGGTCAGGAGTCGGCCAGAGCTCCAGTCCGGTCCTCACTCCCAGGTCCTCACTCCCAGCGTCTGAGCTCTCGTGCTTTTCTCTCGTGTAACCAGTGTGTGTCTCTGGCTCCGCCCTTTCCTACAGATGGCATTCTATCGCCTCAAATTTCTCTCAGACTCTGGCTGGCTGGGTCACTTGCTGCCTCTCCCCTCCCCGTGTCTTCTTCCCCTTCAGGCACGAGCATCCTTCCTTCCCCACGGCCACCCCCGGCCCATGTGCACTGTGCATGGAGCAGAGGGCGCGGGTGCTGGCGGCTGACCTGCAGTTGCGTGTGCCCTGGGGGTGCTCGTCCACCCACAGGAGCTGTGCGGGCCCCCCAAGAGCCTCAGATTGAAGCCTTGCCTGGGGTGGGGGCGGGGAGAGAGTTGGGTGTCTGCTTCAAGCCAGTGCAGGAAATTGGTGTTGTCTATGTTTGTGTAGATTTTGCTACAAGGGAACTGGATAGCCGACCCCTTGGTTATACTTCCCCAGGGCTGTTTGCCTGCCAGTGGGCAGGAAGCCTGAGGTGCTGCAGGGCGGGAGCTGGTGCAGAGGTCTGCTGGAGACACGGGGTGCCAGGAAGCAGCAGACTCAAGGTGCACAAAGGCTTTTGACCAGGGGACAGAAAAGGAAAGGAAGCTCTGGACAGGATCTCATGGAGGTGCTAAAGGGGACGGAGGAGTGGCCGGAAGGCGCGGACGTCCTGTCTGGACCAGCCCTGGGCAGACTTCGGTGGCACCCACTGCAGGTTGCCTTCCTTGCCTGGGAAGAGCCCTTTGCGATGCTCTTGTCGGCACCCAGGCGTGTGCCCCGCCGGGCCGGCCGCAACGCACTGCTTGCCTCACGAGCGCCTGTGTCGGGCGAGACCTGTGGGTGGCTGCAGGTGGCCGGCACCCCCACGTCCCCTCTGTGTCCTTTGGGAGGAGGGTTCCTGCACTGGTCTCCGGTCCCACTGTCTCCGGCCACTCAGCACCTTTATCCCTTAAGCGGCTCCCACTGCCCATCTCTTTGCCTTTTTGCACACCTCCCTCTGCAGACTTGGTACTCCCTGCCTCCGACTTGCCGCCCAGCCCTCCAGCTGCTTGGACTTCCTGTTGTGAGGAAGGATCGGCCAGAAACGCCACTGCCGCGGGGTCTGGCAGCTGCTTCCTGGCGGGGCATGTGTAGCTCTGACCTCTCACGTGTCCTTCCCTGCAGCAGAGCTGCTGCCTCCCGAGGGGTCTGGACAGTCAGCAGCCACAAACGCCCAGGCTTTTGTCCCCAAACCTCCGCCCTCCCCAGGCCTTCCATGGCGGGCACTTCTCTGTCTGACCAGCCTGCTCTTCCTCCTGCCGCGGCTCCTGGCGTGCCTCAGGTGACGCTGTCATGTAAAGCTTTGTGGTGGTGACTCCTTGTCTCTTCCCCTGCAGGTTGCTCTAACGGGGAGAGGTGGGCGGCTCTTAGGGCCTGGCATATAGGGGGCGCTTAATTAATATTTGTGAATGAGTGGCATGTAGGCAAAACTTAATGTAGACTGCTATGGAGGCTCTAGACCAGGGGTGGGCAAACTTTTTGACTCGAGGGCCACCATGGGTTCTTAAACTGGACCGGAGGGCCGGAACAAAAGCATGGATGGAGTGTTTGTGTGAACTAAAATAAATTCAAAGTAAACATCATTACATAAAAGGGTACGGTCTTTTTTTTTTTTTTTTTTTAGTTTTATTCATTTCAAACGGGCCGGATCCGGCCCGCGGGCCATAGTTTGCCCACGGCTGCTCTAGACTCACAAGGGAAATAACCAGCACCTCCACGAACCCCCTCGCCTTCCACCCACGGCAGCGCGGCCTCCCTCCTCCAGCCACGGCCCGCCCTTCATGCCCGGTCGGCCTGCCTCAGACATGCCTGGGCCCCGTCTCCCTTGCCGCGGTGGCTCCGACCCATTGCCATCTCCCCCTGGTCCACAGCAGCAGCCTCCAGGCTGGCCCCCAAGTTCACGTGGCCTCCCTCGGCCATGCTCAGGGCGGCCACGTGGTGGGTGGCGGGGGATTTGGCCAGCTGCTGTGTCACACTCCAGTGCTGTGACTAGATGAACAAGGTCGTTTGTCTGTCTCTCAGGAGCCTTTCAGTGGCGGGCGGGGGGGTGGGGGGGCCTGGGCTGTTGGGGGGCTGTTTGTGAGCTCATCAGAGCTGGTGACTTCCTCCGGTTCCACTCCCTTCAAGGGACCTTGTCCTCAGCTGTGTTGTCAAAGTGGGGCTCGCCACCTAAATATGTAGAAGTCGGCCAAGGGAAGGGGAAGCAGAAAGCAACCTCTTTTTTGTAAAGGACATGACCCCAAAGTTGTAGTCATTGCTTCCCTTTACGTCTCATGGCTGGAGCTTAGTCTCATGACCAGGCCTGGTTACAAGGGACTATGGGAAATGGAGTTTTTGCTGGGTTCTGTTATTAGAAGGAAGAAGGGGAGAATGGATCCTGGAATCACAGCCACGTGAAAGCAGGTGGCGTGTATCACTCGCCTTCCTGGACCCGGAGGTGGTTTATTGCTGTACGTGGAACCAAGTTTAAACTCCCTGCTGTTCCTGTTCAGCCTGCATGGCCTGGCCCTGCCTCCCTCGCGTCCTTTCCCACCTTCCCGGCCTTCACCTGGCCAGCACCTCCCACTTCCAGTCTCCACCGGGTGCTGTCACCGCAGGGAGGCTGGCCCTGCTGCACCATGCCCCAGCCGCCCGGTTGCTCTGTCATTACTTTGTTTCCCTTTCACCCATACTCCACCAGAACCGCAGCTGCCTAAGGACGGGCCCGCGTCCGTCTGTGAGGTGCTGGCGCAGGTGAGTGAGGTCCGACTCGCTGATCCTGTGCTTTCTTCCTTTCCAGGACACCAGGGACTTCCTGAACAGGTAACAGCTTCTTCGCTGGAGTGTGCCTCGCCTTGTCCTGCCATGCCCGTACCCCCCCCCCCCCTTTTTCCTTGACCTTGAGCCATTTGAATGAATGGGGAGGGAAACGGTACCCAAGGTGCCCACACCCATGGTTCCTCCTGGGAAGCAAGAACCATCCTGAACCCAAGTCTTGCTGTCCACAGAGCAAGATCTCTGTGCGCCCCCCCACCTCGGCCTGCTCTCCTTGTCTGGGACGGTCAGGTGGTGAGGGGAGAGGTGGCTCTGTAAGCTGAACGGCTCTGGGGTTGAGTCTGCTGACACTCACAGCTCTTGTCCCTGGCCTGTTTCTCTGTCTGTGGCGGTGGTGGTGGGGGGGGGGGGGGGGGATC